AGACGAGGAAGATGATGTTGACGACTGCAACTTTCTTCCACGCGCTCTGACGTATCGAGGAGACCGGCTTTGCAAGATTGGCAATCGAAGCAGAGCTTGTCTTTTGCGTTGTCCCAGGTTTGGCAGTCTGGATTAGAGTGTGTTCCTGTCGTCTTGTTCCAGTTTGTGGCGCTATTGTAAATGAATCCACATTGTTCTGAGGGTTTGCAGCAACCAGACTGTACACACAAAACATCCGTTCGTTAATTATAGCATTAAGACAGACTAATATCTATACAGAGAATCAGCTTCAGAAACTATCAGGATCTCTGCTCAAAAGAGCGAAAAGAGAGACTCAAGAGCGTAAGTCATAGAGAAGTGCTAAGAACAGAACATAACTATTACAAAATTGCTTGCATTTTAAGCAAGTTTTCGGTCCTTGTGTCTCATGTGTATGGTTCATATTCATTGATAAAGATTCTGTGAACAAAAAAGTCGAATCTTTGAATCAAAAAGTTTTTTTTTTGGGTGAAAAATATCAGCATCTCTACTCTAATTCACACATGCCAAGTAAGAAGAGAACATAGCTTATACAAATTTGCTTGCATGATAAGTTAAAATCTGGTCTTTAGATCTAATCTCTACAGTTAAAATTCATAGATCAAGATTCTAAATTTTAAAAAAGGTTGAAACTTTTAATCAAAAAGTAAAGCTTTTGTGTTGGAAAAAGTTAGGAATTTTAAAAGACATGAGTAAAATAAAAACTTTTGAGATCACAAAAAAAAAGACTTTACGGATCAAAAAGGTCAATTACTTTCAAGTCACTGATCACAATTTTAGCAACTCTAAAAACCCTAAAAAGCATATAAAGTTTAAGCCATGATTCGAATCAAAATGATTATAAACAATAAGAATCGATTTATACCTGAAGAGCAGTAAGGTGCTCGTTGTAGAAACTATTGACAGGTACATCAACAAGCTTAGCTTCAAGCTTAGAACAAACTTTGCTCTCAACAAGACAACTCCTAATCCTGTTCCAGTTCTTATCATTGTTCACACGTTTCTGCAACCAATTAGAGTAATCTCCAAGTCTATACTCTTTATAACCTCTTCCAGATACTTTTTCTCCTGCGCCTTTGTTAGTCACAACAAAGGCGAAGATTGTTATGCAGAAAACGAGGAGAATCAAGAGGAACATGACAAGGAGGTAAGTCCAAAGAAGCCATGTGACTCTGCAACACGAACCGATCAAACCAGCTATGGCTACAACCATGAGGAAAACTCCGAGAGCAATCACGGGTTTATCGAGAAAACGCTCACACTCCGTTGAGCCTTTTTGGCTGAGCCAGATTCCTCCAGCTAAGATCGGAATCGAGAGGAGGAAGACGACGAAATTGAGTATACCCACGAGGTTGTTGCTGCAACGAACCATGGTTTCAAGTCGGATTTGAGAACCCTAAAGACGACGAGATCAAACGATTTTGAAAGAGTCAGATTTTGGAGAGAAAGATTGAAACTTTAGGAACCCAGAAACGAATTTGTGTGGGTTTTGGTGGAATTTGGGGAAGAGAAATATATAGAGAGGATTGAAACGCGTGAAAGGAAGGAAATTGCAGAGAAGTTTCCGTGTTTGCTTAATGATATTTTCCTCTTCTCCTCTTGGGAAGTAGTTGAGAGACTTGAGACTTTGTGCTTTCGAAGAAAAGACTCTTCAAATTCTCACGCGCTTTATTGCGAGTGGTGGAGATTTTTTGGATTTAGCCTAATCTGATAGAGGACTTGTCATTAATTTTCCTTTTTTTTTTTCTTATGTCATTATATCTTCTTTCAACTATGTCAAAATAATTGAGATATTATTTCTTTTGGTTTTACTTGCGTGAGAAAGAATCTGAGAATGATGGAAACGTTTTGAAAGTCTAATTTGTTTTTGTTGACTCGTTCTATTTGTACACGGTTTAGTCGTTCTTTCTGTAAACGGCTTACTTTTATTTTATTTAATGAAAAATAAGCTGATTAAATATATTTACCACTGAGACGGAAAAAAAATATACATTATTTACCACTTGAAAATTTCAATTTGTTTTTTTAGAGGCTGCGTTGCTACCTAACCTACTTATAGAAATAAGATAATGGGAAGTAAGTCAAATTCAATTCACATGAACTTGTATTTTAAAACATTTTTAAAAATGGTCTGAACACAAGTAGACTTAACTTGTACTTTAAAACATGTTTAAATCGTAAACGTTTTTAAAAATGGTCTGAACACAAGTAGACTTAACTCGTATTTTTAAACATGTTTAAATCGTCCGAACACAAGTAGACTAGTGTTTTCTTTTTCTTTTCTTGAATCTCTTTGAATCGATTCATGTTAATGAGATTTGTAAAATGAAAATTTAACTTTTAAACCCATGTATAATTTTATACGTTATAGTGAACTACCAGTAGCAAATCTAAAAATTATTTTCATACATGGCAGAAATATAATGAACAAGAGCATAATATAACACATATACAAAGGTATTATGAAGAAATTTTAAGTAACTACACTAAATTTGAAAATCTCTTACGGAAACGATCTTTTCCAATCGCTATATACATCCGCCTATGAGCAGAATAACAAAGCAACAAAACAGAAAATCTAAATGATTCATAAATTACAATAATTATCATGAGAATTAAATAATTTTGTTCCAAATAATAATTTTTGGACCAAATGTATATATTTTTTTAAAAAAAATATGGATAGAAGATAAGAACAATGCCATTTGGATACCAGGTGGCACCATTAATTATGTTCAACCAACTATAAGCAAATATATCTTCTAAAGAAATAATAGTAAACTGTAATGTAAATGGCACAATTTTTATACTTTATAGAACAAGTGAAAATCAATGATAGGTATGCTTAAAGAGTATGTATGTGTAAGGGGTTTCAACTGGAAGATAAGAAGACTTGATTGCGAAATTGCATATCAGCCAGCAAAATGAGATCACAGATTAATGGAAAAGTGTAGTGTTTTCACGCACTAAATAATCAAGATTTTAACGCAATTTTGAATTTTAGCATTTGGTTTACACGACTTATCAGACATGAATTATTTTATAGATGTTGGTCAGAGACTAGTCATATGTATATATTATCATCATTTTGGATATAATTTACCTATATATAAATAAGGAAGATAAGAACAAAATGATGTAGGAACATAATTTGTGCAACAATCCTAATCAGTGTCCAAACTATCTTTATATTTTACTAGATGAATACCCGCGTATACACGCGGGTCTTTTTTTGTAATATATTTTTTAAATCTCACAACAAATTGGTGACCTTAATACTGTGTAAAAATCTATTATTTCTGTTATACATATTTAAAAATAGAAAGATTTTTAAAAAATATTAAATTGTTCTAAAAATCTATAGTTTAACACGAATGCACTGATATATTTTAAACTATATCACGTTGTGCTCACTTCTCTCAACTCTTATAAAAACTTCTTATCTCTCTCTTCACCACAGTGATATAGTTGTTATTTGTTTCACATTGTTAAAAATTATCGTTGCATTATTAAAATATTACTCTAAATCTACTTTGAAGACTCTTTTTGTATTTTGGATTTGTAATTTTCTTAAAAAACCTAATTATACAATAACATTTGCTAATGAAATCACCAAAACACAATCCTAATCCAATATTTCTAAACACTACACACACACATACACTCAAATAGACTCTTTAAACGACAACATTTTACTACTCATTTCTTCATCTTTTGTTCCACTTAGTTCCTACATGATTGGTGCCAAACTTTCAATAATCTTTCTTTTTTTGAACATGGTAAAATATATTTATCTCTGTTTAGTAGGTTATAAGCATTTCTATGGAATGTATTAAAATGATTAGTAGATTTTTTATTTTAACCATTAATTAGCTAAACAAACTGTCATACATATCCATAAACATTTACATAAACTTTATATTATAAGCAAATAAATAAACTTTTGGTAAATTATAATTAAAAAACTCTTAAGCTATACAATAACACTGCTACTTATTGACCCAGCTAGTATATTCTACACATAATCACAATTAGACTCATAGAATATAGACCCCCATTGGCGGTCTCCTTGCAAAGGAACATTGTATAGTGGCTGCTTAGCTTTCGCATGGATATTTGATGTCTACTGAAATAAAGAAATCAAAAGCTTTTATAGGTCATCGCTGATTCTCTGTTGAGTTAGTAATTGATTTCGTATCTAATAGTCATTCTGATTTGCTTTGATTCATTTTTTACTTACTTCCACAAACAGATATATCTTTCTCAATTCTTCTCCTTTGCGGTGGTGATGGTCCATTCTTTCTCTGCGACGTCATATATTCTGATTTCCCAACACTTGTTCTCCTTCCTCGTGTTTATGTGCTCTCTCTGTTTCTTTTTTTTTTCTTTGTCATTAATCTCCTCCTCTCTCTCCCTCTCCTACTCACGGCTTGTCCTCTCTTCTCTTTTCTTCCTCCTTTCATGACTCTTTCTCCTCTTTTTTTCTTTCTTATTTCTCCTTTTCTCTCTCTCGACCTCTTATGACTGCTCTTATTTTTTTTTTTAGTTCAGTAATCTAACTAAAATAACTTGTATATAAGGATATATACATTAGTTAATTTAAGGAAAATGAATCACACTTTTTAGGAGAATTATCTTCATAAATATATGTTTATCACTGAATTCAATGATTTAAGTAATAAATTGATGCTTATTTACGAAAATTTTTTTAAAAATTATTAAATAATAAAAATCTAATAATTGTTTAGAAGATGATGTGTCAAAAGGATGAGTGCTTAGGTGTCAAATTTGTGAGACTCAACTCACTCTTTATATAATAGATTCTCTAATTTATATTAGCATCATTTAATCTCCTTTACTTTATACTAGCATCATTTTTTTTAATATCAGGTTTAGTGTTCGATTCATATCGTAAATACAATATCCATATTTATTATTAAACTTTCAAGCTCTTGACAATTTCAAAAAAGATGATGTGAATGACTTGAATTTGAGCTGGAGGTGTTGATTATTTTTAGGAAAAGGACTTTAAAATACCATGAAAATGAGTTTTGTTTTCTAAAAATACTATTACTAACTTTTTCTTTCCAAAACTACTACACAAACACTAATTTTTCCACAAACACTACAAAACAATAAAAATAAATATTAAATGTTTTTTTTCTTTCATTCAGAAAATTTGAAAAATGAGGCACTTTTTCATGTCCCATTACATTATTGGGTCTTCATATATTGTAAGGCCCTACATTCTTGGGTCTTCATAAATGTTATAAAAACTCTGAACTTTCAAAAACTGGCCATTTTAACCATGAACTGTGATCTCAGCCATTAAAACCTGAAGTTTGTCGTTGACTATCAAAATAACCCTGAATTTTGGTTGACTTCGCGGATTTAACACTGTCGTTAAACGCATAGACGGAATCGTTAACACCCGTCTAACCATGCCGTTAATGATAAAACGACGTTGGGATGTTTAATTAAAACCCCCCAAATTGTCTAGCCCTAATTCGATTTTACCCTAAATCGATTGAAAGAAAAATCCCAATTCTCTCATTTTGTCTTCAATTCTCTCTTGTCTCTTTGATTCTATCGTTCTTTAATCCTGTCTTGCCCTAATGGCTCCTCGTAGAAAGAAGAAAAAGAAGAAGAGGGGTGCAGAGAGTGCTTCAATCCGTGAAGGAGAAGCAGAGAGTGCTTCAAATCCGAATCACGCTGGAGCGTTAGTGGTGGTCGGCGAATCCTCATATGTCCGTCCTCCATCACGGCGGAGAAGACAATCTGAGAGAGAAGCAGAAGAAGAAGAAGAAGAAGAAGAAGAAGAAGAAGAAGAAGAAGAAGAAGATCTCGAAGTTGACTGTCAGCATGACGATGAAGATGACTGCCAAGTAGGTGGTGATACTGATTGTGAAGATATTAATGATTCAGATGAAGATAATGGAGAGGGTAATGGAGAAACTGGTTTAGTAGTTAGGAAAGATGTAAACATCAACATTGCAGACGACTTTGCAGCCATTGATGAAGATGGAGAGAAGACTGATGATGATAGCGGCGATGATATATGGGATGACGATAAGATTCCAGATCCTCTCTCATCTGATGACGAAGCCGAGAGGAACGATGATGAAGACAGAGCAATTCCAGAGCGTAGAGAAAATCCTGATGATCCAGAGATGTTGATTCAGTATGAGAAAACTTACAACTCTGCTGCAGATTTTAAGCTTGCATTATTGACGTACTCGCTTAAGACAAGGTATGATATTAATTTTTACAAGTCTGAGAGTACTAGGGTTGCTGCTAAGTGTTGTTACATTGATAGTGTAACAAAAGTTGAATGTCCTTGGAAAGTTTACGCTTCTTATGAGAAGAAGAAACATAAGCTGCAGGTGAACACCTATATCAATGAGCACACTTGTGTTAGGTCTGGTTATTCAAAAATGTTGAAGGTTTCTGCTATAGCTACGTTGTATGAAGAAAGATTGAGGCTGAATCCAAAGATAACAAAAATCATAATGGCTGAGGAGATTAAGCGAGAATACAACTTGGAAGTGACTCCAGATCAGTGTACAAAAGTTCTGAGGGCTAGAAAAGCAAGTCATGAATCTCATTTTGCTCGGATATGGGATTATCAGGCCGATGTCTTGAAGAAGAACCAAGATTCTGAATTTGATATTGAGATTATCCTGGGACCAATCATTGGCAGCAAACAAAGGTTCTTTCGGCTCTACATTTGTTTTAAGTCACAAAAGGAATCTTGGAAACAAACCTGTAGACCCATTATAGGGTTAGATGGTGCTTTTCTAAAATGGGATATAATGGGTCATCTTCTAGCTGCAGTAGGAAGAGATGGAGATAATAGGATAGTGTCTATTGCATGGGCTGTGGTAGAAATTGAAAACGATGATAACTGGGATTGGTTTGTCAAAAAGCTATGTCATAGTCTCGGACTCTAAGGTGGTAGCAGTGTAACCATCATTTCAGATAAACAAATAGTAAGTATTTGAGATGGTTTGTTTTGTTTGCATGTTTGAAACACTGAATTTTTTTTAATATGTATTGACTTTGAATTCTTTTGCAGGGTCTAGTCAAGGCTATTCATAATGTACTTCCAGAGGCTGAGCATTGACAGTGTGCTAGACACATAATGGAGAACTGGAGGAAGGAAAGTCATGACCAAGAACTTCAACGCATCTTCTGGAAGATAGCACACAGTTACACCATAGGAAAGTACACTGACCATATGGAGGAATTGAGGAAGTACAATCCTCACGCTCATGTATCTCTGCAAGATACTAATCCGCAAACTTGGTCTAGATCGTTCTTCAGAATTGGAAGTTGCTGCAATGACGTTCTCAATAATCTTAGTGAGTCTTTCAATAGGACTATGATAACACCATATTTTGACCACTTTTATGGATCATTTTGAAATACTTTTTCTATGTTTTTAATTGCTTTTAAGTACTTTTATCACGTTTTTCTAATATTTGTAGTTCCAAGACTCTTTTCAGGTAACTTAGGGAAAAGCTTAACAAAATGGATAGAAAACCAGATTTCAACTCAGAGTCAAACTGTCAGAAGTTCACCCCTGATTGAAGGCCTTCTCACCGTCTGATCCAGCTCAAATTTGGAGACCTTAAAGATGGAAGTATCAGCTTTCCAGTGCACTTTACATCTTGGCAATCCAACGGTTCAATCAAAAGATACGCGAAGAGCAAGATGTCCCGTAAACCAGCCGGCAAGCACTTCCACCCGCGGCCAAACACTCATTCCCCACGGTCAGGAGCATCCCGACCGCGGCCAAACACTCGTTCCCCGCGGTCACACTTGTCCCGACCGCGGCCATCAACCTCCGAGCCCAAAAAGCCCATTTCTGAAGCCCACATTTGGAGAAACCCTAAGTGACGTCTAGAGAGGTCTTGAGCACTATAAATACATGTTTTAGGAACCCTAAACTGGGTGTAACAGAATACCATCTATCATTACTTCATACTTTTATTATTTTTGCTTTAGCTTTTAGGGAGAGAAAGATTTGTTCTCTTGAACCCTTGTTTTTTCTTTATCAATTTCGGTTTCTATTCTACTTCTTAATACTATGTCTTTGATTTCGTTCATTATTTCTGAGTAGTTTTATTGTTGGGATTAAGGGATTTTTGATGGGGATTTATATGTTCGATGAGGATTCCATGAGCTTTTGAGCCGAATCTTAGAACATTTTCTTCTGAATTCGTTTTTACTGCATGAGAGTAGCATCATGAACTACAATCTGATCCAGATGCTTGGTGACACGAAAGTGTTCATCCGGTATCAGATCTAGTTTGGGAGAGCAAAACAAACATAGGAGTGGAAACCTACCTATGGGCGATTTGTGAATTAGGACGAGTCTTAAACATAATGCATCTCTTCTCTTCCAGGGCTAGAGTGGAAACCTACTGGTCAGGGTTGAGAGAGATAGTTGTCTATGATCACGACAGTGGCGTATTCATACGTCCGTGACTCCAGTTCAAAAAGTTTAAGCTAAGATCTTATCAATTTTACTCTCTAGCAATGTTTTGAATCGTTCGTACCCCTGAGAAAACTTCCCTGAAGCCCAACGCCTTCTTTTCCATTGATTTACACCGTTTTTCTTTCAAGCTTTAGTTCAATATTGTCTTTCCTTTTTAGTTCATTTTCATTTAAGCAATTAGATATCCGTTTTTTACATTTTTAGTCATTTTCGTTAAGTTTAGTTATTACGTCATTTAATTTCCGTATTCTCTTTTAATATTTCGTTTTTACATTTTAAACACACTACCAAACCCCCACAAAACCGTTTTGGTTCTAGACTTCCTTACTTAATACTTATTTCAAAGGCTTTTTGCAGGAAAAGATCCTCCTTCCCTGTGGATTCGATCCCTAAGTACTACAATCGATCAGCTGTGCACTTGCGGCTATTGATTTCATTTAGGGTAAAACTTGACAACCCTCGACACACACGACACATCAAGTTTTTGGCGCCGTTGCCGGGGAAGGCACGCATTTTCTTTTCTGAAAAACCCCGAGAAAGGTTAGTAAATCGACTCTAGAACCCCCTTTTCTGCAATTTTCCATTTTTCGGTTGTTTTGTTTCCATTTCAGAAGATATGGATCCTATAAATCGAAATATACACTATGAGGAAGGTTTCTATAACACTCCTCAAGCCACCAGACGCAGAGAAAAACACCAAGCCCGAAATCTTAGCTACATGGATCAATACAGCCAGCCAAACCACCCTTACCACCGGCGCAGAGAGACTGTTCGACGCCGGGAAGATCCTTATGGTCCTCCTCCGACCTACTTTGAGCCACACGCCTACAATCCTCCACTGCAGAACCCTAGTCAGCAAGAGGATAACTTGAGGATCAGCAGACGTTTGGGACGCCTCGAAGGGATGATAAACCAATTCCTTGATCAGCAGATTCTCACCGAAAACACTCTGCTCAAGAAAATTGATTCAATCTCTGAAGAGTTCAACAAAAAATTTGATGATATGGCCAATCATGTTCGAATTTTGGAAGAGCAAACCCACAAGGACTCACAAACACTAGCTGGGATGATCCACCAAGTCGCAACAGAGCAGACAAGACAAGAGTATGACATCATACAAAACTCAAGTGATATTGTTGAATCAAAACACGAGATTAAAGAAGTCAGAGAAGATGCCTCCTAGTATAGAGAGAAGACAGACGAAGAGTTGCAAGAGATCGAGCACAGGCTGAACAAACTCGAGCTCAAAGCACAGGAGATTGATGCAAGAATGGAGCAGATGCCCAACATTGAGCAAATTGAGAGGTTTTCTAAGAAATCTCCCAAAGATCCTGATGAAGATGGACATCAACGCCCTGATATGAGTTCATATGATGCTAGTCTACCTAATAAAGATGCAGGAGAAGTTCGTGTCAAGTACAAGAAGGAAGAAACGGACTTTGAGCAAGTCATATCCGGAGCCGCGGGTCCAAGCGTCCTGACCACGGCCAAGAGCACTTTTCCCATGGTCGCGACTCCTCTGACCGCGGGAGTTGGTCGCTCAAATGCTCCTCCGGGTTTTGAGAGGAAAATAATACATTTTCTGTCCCAACTTCAGCCTCCAGCACCTAAAAAAGCAACTCAGGAAGAAGAAAACCAAGTTTCAGATGAAGAACCAGATTGGCAGGAATCATTACCTTGTATGATGGCAAAGGAATGTGTTGAAGATTCAGTTGACTCTTCAATCCAAGAAGACCAGACATGCAGCGAGATAAAGATGACATACATCGATTCAATCATTGAATATGACGCTGCAGCTTTCTTTTGTGAATCCTATTCTGCGTTTGAGACACCAGCCAACACCTACAGAGAAAGGCAAGTTCGAATTCTCCATAAGGTCAAGACTACAGGTCAGTTTCTTATCTCTTGTTCTATTAGAGGAGAAATGTTTAAAAACGTGCTATGTGATTCTGGAGCTTGTCTTAACATGATGTCCAAGGCAATTGCTTTGAGACTTGGCATTAAACACCTGCGCAGGACTAGAGCAAAAATTAGTCTAGCTGATGATTCTAGTGCAACACCTCAAGGAATAGCTCATGAAATTCCTTTGAGAATAGGAGATTGCATAGTGCCTGTCGACTTCTACATTGTCGAAACGAGAGATGCAACATATCCAGTGATTCTCGGATGGTCTTTTCTAGCAACTTCGGGAGCTATAATGGACTAGCCAAACCGGAGGATTTCATTTGCTAACATCGACAAAGATGTCTTCACAGAAGCTGTTCCATACAACAGCAAAGCAGGAAAACGTTCTGCAACAGAAGAGTTTGAAGAAGAACTTTGGAGTGACAAAGAACCTGCTAGGCAAAGCAAGGAGATGTCAAAAAAGACTTGTCTCAGGACAAGGTCTTCTTCATTGGAATAAGTCACGTCCAACACCAAAAGTCGAGCTAAACGACTTAAAACAGAAGCGCTTAATGGGAGGCAACCCATTTAGGTATTGTTTTCTTTAGGATTTTTCTTTTTTTTTCTATTGATCTTTTTTTTTTTCTTAGTTTCAGGTGTTTCTTATAAAACAAAAAAGCCAAAAAAATCAAAAAACCAGAAAAAACCAAAAAGAAGGATGGTACCTGACTGCTCGGCCCAGCAGGAACCAAGGAGAAGCAGGAAGAGGCCGCGATATAAGCCCTCGCGGTTGCAGACTTTCTGACCGCGGGAAACCTACCGTTGGCCGCGGTCGCGTAATCCTAAACACGGCCAAGTGCTTGTTTGCCGCGGTCGTGCAGCCCCTGACCGCGGCACTTGGTCGTTGACATCAAACCCGACCCCAAACCACTCACTTCACCCCATTCCACCTCACCAATCACCCTCCATCTCATTCATCACCTTCCACCACCTTCATCACTACCTAATCATCTTCCCAAACCCCTTCGAATGAATCCGGTTCATCTCCACCAGCATCCCGGATCCAGGTAAGTTCTCTTTGTCCTTACCAATTCGATTATCTATGCATTTTTCTCATCCAATCTCGTCTTGTTTCACACTGAGGACAGTGTGATTTAAGTCTGGGGGAGGATTTCATCCCTTTCTAACCACTTTTCTTTCATGAGTCTTGCATTATCTACACTTGTTGTATTTTCCTTAAAGTTTTTCAAAATCGGTTTTCAAAACAAAATACGTTTTAAAAGGGAATGGTGAACATGAATCATTGATAGTTGACTGTGTGCTTTTAGACTGTTCCTAGTGACATGCTCATTCATGATTTAGGACTAGACTAGGCGGTAGCTAAGCACATTTGAAACGAAGTACCCCAGAGGAATTTGAATAATTTCGATTTAGATGAAGGGATACACTAGCTCTGTTTTATTTGGACTTAATTTGGACTTAATTTTCTCATTGAAGCATTAGACCAGGGAAACGAATCATACATTCAGGACTCCTTTATCTTTTTACCACTCTCTGTTGATCCTGAATGGCTAGTTCATCTTTAGCTAGTTCCCCACCTTAACCAATCCTCTTTCAAACCACATGCACTCTTGTTTTCTATTGTCTTATATGCAGATAAGTGCAAAAACGTTGGAGAGAAAAAGGAACGACGCAGTTTTCAGTCACTAAGGACAGAGACCTGCGATTTGCCGGAAAAGTTCCCGGAAGGATTCAACACAAGAGGAAACTCAGTTTGCCTTAGAAAAATCTCAAATTTTGGTACAATCTCTTCCTCTAGTCTCTCTCTCTCTTTAAAAGGCATTTCCTATTCTAAAAAAAAAAAAATCCAAAAATAAGAAAAGAAAGGAAATAAAAGCCTTAGAGAGTCTAGAGATTCGAATTTTAAGTCCCAAGGCAACTGGAATTTGATTTTATGGAGTTTTGGAGATTATTTTTCTGATTCCCGGAAAGAATCTAAGTCTGGGGAATAGCTGTTTACAACAAAGGAGGAAGGATTATGCAACAACATTTGGCAAGAAGAAGTGACTGAAAACTGTGGTCATCAACAGGTCCTTATCTCTCTTGCGGTTTTGCATATTACCTTGCATCCTCCAGATCTTCAGGTAACCCGAAACACTTTAACTCCACCACTTAAACAGCCCTTTAATGCCAAACGCCGTCTACCCTGGATGATGTCTTTAATGAGAATTCACTTTTGAACTTAATGAATGTAGAGATCTAGTTGACTGGAATCAAGATTTAGATTGTTTAAGTTTTGCATGACGGAAAAAGTGGACTAGTATCTCTTGTGCATTAGTGAGAATTTTCTAGACTAAGTTGTGGATTGATGCACTATCTTTGGTCCTAGTTTAGGAGTTCATGTCTATGAGATTTGTGCATTTCCTATTTTTTTTTTCACTTAACCAGTTTAAGCTTTTGCTTTGTTTGAGGACAAACAAAGGTTTAAGTCTGGGGGAATTGATAACACCGTATTTTGACCACTTTTATGGATCATTTTGAAATACTTTTTCTATGTTTTTAATTGCTTTTAAGTACTTTTATCACGTTTTTCTAGTATTTGTAGTTCCAAGACTCTTTTCAGGTAACTTAGGGAAAAGCTTAACAAAATGGATAGAAAACCAGATTTCAGCTCAAAGTCAAACCGTCAGAAGTTCTTCCCTGATTGAAGGCCTTCTCACCGTCTGATCTAGCTCAAATTTGGAGACCTTAAAGATGGACGTATCAGCTTTCCAGTGCACTTTACAGCTTGGCAATCCAACGGTTCAATCAAAAGATACGCGAAGAGCAAGATGTCCGGTAAACCAACCGACAAGCACTTCCACCCGCGGCCAAACACTCATTCTCCACAGTTAGGAGCATCCCGACCGCGGCCAAACACTTGTTCCCCGCGGTCACACTTGTCCCGACCGCGGCCATCAACCTCCGAGCCCAAGAAGCCCATTTCTGAAGCCCACATTTGGAGAAACCCTAAGTGACGTCTAGAGAGGTGTTGAGCACTATAAATACATGTCTTAGAAACCCTAAACGGGGTGTAACAAAATACCATCTATCATTACTTCATAGTTTTATTGTTTTTGCTTTAGCTTTTAGGGAGAGAGAGATTTGTTCTCTTGAACCCTTGTTTTTTCTTTATCAATTTCGGTTTCTATTCTACTTCTTAATATTATGTCTTTGATTTCGTTCTTATGTCTGAGTAGTTTTATTGTTGGGATTAAGGGATTTTCGATGGGGATTTATATGTACGATGAGGATTCCATGAGCTTTTGAGCCGAATCTTAGAACTTTTTCTTCTAAATTCGTTTTTACTGCATGAGAGTAGCATCATGAACTACAATCTGATCCAGATGCTTGGTGACACGAATGTGTTCATCCGGTATCAGATCTAGTTTGGGAGAGCAAAACAAACATAGGAGTGGAAACCTACCTATGGGCGATTTGTGAATTAGGACGAGTCTTAAACATAATGCATCTCTTCTCTTCCAGGGCTAGAGTGGAAACCTACTGGTCAGAGTTGAGAGAGATAGTTGTCTATGATCACGACAGTGGCGTATTCATACGTCCATGACTCCAGTTCGAAAAGTTTAAGCTAAGATCTTATCAATTTTACTCTCTAGCAATGTTTTGAATCGTTCGTACCCCTGAGAAAACTTCCCTGAAGCCCAATGCCTTCTTTTCCATTGATTTACACCGTTTTTCTTTCAAGCTTTAGTTCAATATTGTCTTTCCGTTTTAGTTCATTTTCATTTAAGCAATTAGATATCCGTTTTTACATTTTTAGTCATTTTCGTTAAGTTTAGTTATTACGTCATTTAATTCCCGTATTCTCTTTTAATATTTCGTTTTTACATTTTAAACACACTACCAAACCCCCACAAAACCGTTTTGGTTCTAGACTTTCTTACTTAATACTTATTTCAAAGGCTTTTTGCAGGAAAAGATCCTCCTTCCCTGTGGATTCGATCCCTAAGTACTACAATCGATCAGCTGTGCACTTGCGGCTATTGATTTCATTTAGGGTAAAACTTGACAACCCTCACACACCACCACATCAGACTATAAGAAAAGCAAGAAGAAAACCTTTTCTAGATATGCTGGAGGACATTAGGAGACAATGCATGGTCAGAAATGCAAAGAAGTTTGTGGTTGCTGATCGGTTAAAAACAAGGTTCACAAAGAGAACTCACGCTGAGATTGAGAAGGTGATAGATGGGTCACGACATTGAAAAAGATACATGGCCAGAAACAACCTCCATGAGATAGAGCTGTTTGGTATGAACTACTTTGTTGATATGAATAACAGAACCTATGGTTGTAGGAAGTGGCAGATGATTGGAATTCCTTGTAGTCATACTGCATGTGTTATAATAGGGAAAAAACAGAAGATTGAGGATTATGTGGTAGGATATTACACAAGAGAGAAGTGGAGACAAATTTACATGGATGGTATCAAGCCTGTTGAAGGAGCACCATTGTGGCCAAGGTTGAATAGATTGCCTGTCTTGCCACCACCATGGCGAAAAAGAAATCCAAGAAGGCCACCAAACTATGCAAGGAGAAAAGCAAGAAATGAATCATCATCATCCTCAAATAAGAGCAAGATGTCAAGAAAAAATAGAGAGATGACATGCTCTAACTGCCACCAAGAAGGTCACAACAAGCAAGGCTGCAAGAATGCAACTGTTCTGCTCCCACCAAAGAGACCAAGAGGTCGACTAAAGAAAATTTTGGTTAGTGTCTTATTCTCTCTCTCGGTTGCTGTTGTTTACTATGGTTTGTGAAAAAAATTGGTTAGTGTCTTTTTGCTGTTAAGAACATGTGTTTGTGTGTGTTTGATTGAAATAGGAATCGGTGGCTAGCTTATCACAACCTCTCAGATCACAACATCAAGAATCACAACCTCTCGGATCACAAGGACAAGAAGGATCACAACCTCTCGGATCACAACCAATCGGATCTCAAGCTCAACCTCTCGGATCACAACGTGGCTAGCTTGTTCTCTTTCTCGGTTTATGTTTATGACTCTTAGTGTTTTAGTCTCTCTCTCTCGGTTTATGTTTATGACTCTTAGTGTTTTAGTCTCTCTCTCTCTCTCTGTTGCTTTTGTTTTTGATGGTACTATGAATGTGCTCTTGTCAAAACACTTTGTTGTTGTTTTTTGGTTTATCATACTCTCGGACAAGGTTATTATGCTATGTCTTTGTTTTGTTACTCTTTGTCTTAAACCAAACTTTGTTTCATTACAAAAGAAAACAATGACAAAAGCCACAAAACATACAAAGACACAAAGACACAAACCATACAATGACACAAACCATACAAAGACACAAAGCTAAACCATACAAAGACTCTAAGACGCAAAGACAAATCAAAGATACAAAGAGAAAGACACAAAGACAAAGCAAAGACAAAGCAAACTACATGGAACCAAGAACCATTTGCTGTTTCTTTGTTTTAACAATCATTGTCATCACAATGACAAATACAGTTACACAAAGGCACACGAAGCACAGACATATGATCTTCAATTTGGCATTGTTAATCTCCCTTTTGGTCAGCAATAAATCTTCCTCCAACTCACGGATCCTACCCTTCAAACCTTCGATTTCGTCACCAACATCGAATTTAGCATTTTCAATCTCACCTTCAATACTCGAGATTCTCGACAAAGCATCAAAAACTTCCTCATACACGCCATCATCCACCCACTTGAACAAATGATCCTGGGTTTTAAAACACAAACGAACAGATGTGAACCAAAAAAAAAAACAGAATCAAAGGCAAACTCGAAAATCTTCTTACATCTTTCATGGTTGGACATCGAAAGAAGGGTCTGCCTGGGTTTTCTTGGGTCTTCGACGTGAAAATGACGACATCTCGCCCGCAGTGACACTTTGACGGAAATCCCCGACCTCCATCCTCAACACTCGACAAGGCAGAGTTGCAGCTCATTGCTCTATGGAAAAAAGGTGAAATCGAAGTCCTTTTCAATATAGTTAACAAGAAACAAGTCTAAACCCTGAATCAAAGGAAGAACTCGTGAATCAGAGGAAGAAATCGAGTTGGATTGAGAGGATTTCGATTTTTTAGGGTTTGAAATTGATAGAATTGGAGATTTTATTTTAAAATCCTAATGTTGCTGTTATAAACATCCCGACGCTGTTTTATCATTAACGGCATAGTTAGACGGATGTTAACGATTCCGTCTATGCGTTTAACAACAATGTTGAATCCGCGAAATCAACCAAAGTTCAGAGTTATTTTGATAGTCAACAACAAACTTCAGGTTTTAATAGTCGAGATCACAATTTACTGTTAAAATGGCCAGTTTTTAAAAATTCAGGGTTTTTATAACATTTTTCCTTATATTTGCCCAGTTTAACTAACAAAAGGAACTATTGAAACAATACAACAGCAACGCGATTCCCAATAACGTAAAGATAAACAGAAAAAGGAAAATCTGAAAAGAAAATGAGGAATGTGAATCGAGTCTTCTTCTGCAAATCACTCTCTCTCGTCTTCCTCGTTCCCTCTTTCACTCGTCCCCACCTCCGATTCACCTATTCCGCCGCCGGAGCTTCTCTTCCTAATCGAGCGATTCACTGCATGGCCACCGATCCCCCTCTCCCTCAATCGGCGGCATCGTTTTCGTCTGTCACCGGCGGAGGTAATCCCGTCTCTCCTACTCCTCGGACTAATGATGTCGCGGCGGTTCCGGCTTCTTCCGCCATAGATTTTCTATCGCTCTGTTCTCGCCTCAAGGTAAATGTAACCTTAGCTTTGAATGATCCGTCTTCATATTTCGCTACGATTCGGTGGTTTCTGTGATTTAAAACATTTGGTCTTGTTCTCGTTCACGGAATGTCTGAGATTGTAATTGATTACAAGATCATGCTCTCAACAAAAAATTCGGCCGTTATCGTTTATTGACGACCTAATGACTAATTATGTGAATATTTGGTACTAATGTAAGATGGATCTGTACATTTGTGAACGCATAATGCTTAGTTTTCAAAAAAACTGTTGGAGATTATTTGAATTCTTTCATGAGTGGATGCATAACCTAATGTCTGTTGATGTTCTTGTTCATTGAATCTGTAATTGGCTATGGAATTGAAACGATTTCAAGATATGTGGTTATTTGATGTTCTGTGATTACTCAAGTTCTTGTAGATCATGTGAAGAGTTTTACGTCTCGTTGATATTAGTGAGTTTTTGTTTCCTGGTTCATCGATAAGTTATGTATGTTGTATCTTATGGTTTATCCATCTCTGTGATTTAAAATAGACAACTCCAAGAGCTGGATGGGTGAAAAGAGATGTTCAAAATCCAGAATCAATAGCCGATCACATGTACCGGATGGGTCTTATGGCTTTAATTTCTTCAGATATTCCCGGTGTCAACAGAGAAAAGTAAGAGTCTTGGTTGCTTCTTCATCCTCAAGTTTCGATTTCTGGATCATCATATAAACTTTCCATGCGTTTTTTCTTTCTACAGATGCATGAAAATGGCAATTGTTCATGACATTGCAGAAGGTTAGCTCTTTTACTTATTAGAGAGTATAAATGTCCAACTTTTTTCAGCACGAGGTATTTAGCAGTGATAGTTGAATTCAACCATTGTTGTTGAGCAGCTATTGTCGGAGACATTACACCTTCTTGTGGGGTCTCTAAAGAAGAGAAGAATCGAAGAGAAAGCGAAGCACTTGAACACATGTGCAAGCTCTTGGGTGGAGGGGAAAGAGGTCTGTTCTTGTCTCTTCTCTTCTCTTCTCTTCTCTTCTCTTCTCATCTCTCACTCTGAATGTTTCCGATGATCTTGCTTGTTCGCATCACACTATCACTTCAAGCGTCTAACAATGTAAATATGGTAATTGCAGCTACGGAAGTCGCTGAGCTATGGAGAGAATATGAAGCAAACGCCTCACCGGAAGCCAAAGTTGTTAAAGATTTCGATAAGCTTGAGATGATACTACAAGCTTTGGAATATGAACAAGGTAATGACCTCAAGATTAACTTCTAATGATTCCTGATTTGACCATACGCTAAAAACTAAATCTCGATCTTTTGCTTTGTTTGCTTGTTTTACGCAGATCAAGGTAAAGATTTAGAAGAGTTTTTCCAATCAACCGCAGGTATTTTTCTGTTCTAAGTTGTAATCCAAATACATAATCAGTATATGGTTTAAGGCTTTATTAATCTTGTCGATGTTTGATCCAGGCAAGTTCCAGACTGATATAGGCAAAGCTTGGGCATTGGAGATTGCTTCAAGACGAAAAAAGCAACCTTAGTTAGTTCTCACTTGAGTTTTGTTTTTGTTTTTAAAAGTCTAGTTCTTACTTGAGCTAAATACTCTCTTACCTTCAAAGTTTAATCATCTTAATATACTTTCATTTGGATCTAGAACTTTAAAGGGTACATTTTGTAGCTCAAATTCTTTGAGGGAGAAGCCTAAAAATGGTGGAGAAAGATAGGAGAACCATTCTTTACCAATTTTTTTTGTCTTCTGACGTATTCAAATAATCTATAAATACTAGCTTTCTCCCTGTTCATAAGTGCTAAACCACATTATGACCTTCTCAAAACAACATCTATCCCATCTCATCTTCATCTTGCTTGTCCTAAACGCCTCAGAAGCAAAACGCTGCTGCGCAAACGTCAATGAGATCATCGACAATGAAAAGCAGAGCCTCAACGACCACAACAAGTGCTTGGCCACACGGCTCCTCGATGCCTCTGAATCTCATTTGTCTCCTCTCCACCTTCTCAACCACACCATCTTGAACTCTCCTGAAGAGGATGTCAAAGGGGATTCGCCGAATTGCAGAGATTGTGAGAGTAATCTTTCGTTATGTGGTTTCAAAAATAAGTTCAGTTCCTTTAAATCTGGTAAGGAACCTAATTTCTTCTTTCTTCTTTGATCCTTTACATACATCCAAAATGAACAGTTTGACGTCATCATCAAGCTTCAAATCGATAATCATCATTGACTTCGTTTTCGGATAATAGTTATTATCTACTCATTATAGTGGGCATCAAATAATAACAAACCAAGCATTGACTTTGGATTTATATATTAAACTCACATTTAGAAACAGTCCAATACGAGAATGTAGTACCCACAGAATATCAATATGTAACATGAACACAAGTTAACGTATGTAAATAGTTAAAACTGATTATTCACCGTTTCTTCTTTGAACACAGGACTTTACAACTTCATCTTACTAGTACTAAAGTTAATCTGCCTCTCCCTAATCGCACTCCTCGCCGCAATAACCACTTGTGTGGCATATGTCACGTTCAGTTCCGAGAGGCTCCCTATCCAAATACGACGATCTTTGGCACGGGCTCGCAAGCGGCGTAATGATCGAGCTAAGTCTGTGATCGTTAGATTGTACAAGAAAGTGGTGTTAGAGACAAATATTAAGCTCCCGGGGAGAAATGATGTTATATGTCCAATTTGCTTATCAGAATATGCAAGCAATGAGACCATTGGGTGCTTACTCGGATGTGACCACTGCTTTCACATCGAATGTATTGATACGTGGCTCCAGTTGCATAGTTCTTGCCCGATTTGTCGAGACGAAGGCTCACCAAAACGTTATGTAACGTAACGTTTGTTACTAACCACGATTTAACTCAAAAGTAAATAATTTCGCTTTGTATTTGCTTATGGTAAAATATTATTTCCTTGCAACTTGCAAGAATTTGCTGATTTCTAATGGTCCGATTTGCTTACGATCCTTATAATTGGTTAAAATAGGTCACATATTCATGAAGTAATAAGATAGACGCGAAACGGATTAGGAAAAAATAAAAGATTATTTATAGTTACATATTGGGCCCAAAATAGAGAGATTACAAAGTTTACATAGCCCGTAAGGCCCGATAAATATTTTTTATCCGCCTAGATATGTTTGCCGGACTTATCTCGGCGTTGACGATAAACCCTAACCGCCATTATCAATTAGCCGTATCATCATGACGTCATCATCTTCTTCTTCCACAAAACTAAAGTTTCCAAGTCCACTCTCAGAAAAAATTAAAAAGGAAAGATACACTCCTCTCATGAACATCTGACTTTCTCCCCCAATTATGACTTCCTCTCGCCGTCTTCTTCCTCTCGGTGCTTCGCTCACTGTAAATCATTCTCTCCCCGAATTTTCATCACTTCTATTTGGTATTTATCGCCGATTGATGATGATCGAGTTTCGTTGTCGTTGCAGAGAGAGAGATTTTCTTCCTGTCAAATCGGAAATGGTAAGTTCTCTTTCGAATGCTTAACATCGCAATTTTTTCTCTTCCGTCTCGATCGTAAGATCGTTTAAAATCTCAGGATCTCTAAGAAGTTTCCGAGGATTCGGGACCGTTGCTTCGACGGAGCCGGCTTTGGCTAATCTGGCGGAGAAATGCGCCATTGCTGTGACGGAATGTGCTACAGTGGAGGACGAGATCGGGAAAATCCGTCACGAGTTTGAGCTGGCGAAACAGAGGTTTATCAATATCCCCGAAGCGCTTAATAGCATGCCTAAGATGAATCCTCACGGTTTTTGCCATTGACTTCTGCTTCTTTTTTTGTGGGTTTTGTGTTGTGTTGTTCTTTGTCACTGATTGATTTGGTTGATTAATATACTTGTAGGGATATATGTTAATAAGAATCTCAGGTTGGATAACATACAAGTTTACGGATTTGACTATGATTACACATTGGCACATTACTCCTCTGACTTGCAGAGCTTGATCTATGATTTAGCCAAGCAGCATATGGTTAATGAGGTAATCTATATCACATTTTTGTTGTTGTTGTTGTTATCGTTGTTCATGTTGTGTAAGAAATAGAATTCGGGTTTTGAGTTATTGTTTGAGAAGTATTGGTTCGTCGTTCTTGCAGTTTAGATATCCTGAGAGTTGTATGAAGTTTAAGTATGATCCTACTTTCCCAATCCGAGGACTTTACTACGATAAACAAAAAGGATGCCTCATGAAATTGGATTTCTTTGGTTCGATCGAGCCTGATGGGTGCTATTTTGGTCGTCGTAAGGTATTGTTAATCTTCTTTGTCCTTTTGAACTGCTGCTTTGGGATTTGGAGGATTTGATCCCTCAAGGATATTTGTTTATTTTTCAGCTTAGTAGGAAGGAACTAGAAAATATGTATGGAACGCGACACATAGGTCGTGATCAAGCGAGAGTTCTGGTGGGATTGATGGATTTCTTCTGTTTCAGTGAGGTCAGTTTCATCGATATGTGTCTTCGTTCAAAGGAGCTGTGATATAGTTATCTCTGGTTTGTTGATCGCTATATTTCTTTTTACTTTTTTCAGGCCTGTCTTATTGCAGACATGGTCCAGTACTTTGTCGACGCCAAGCTTGAGTTTGATGCCTCTAACATCTACAATGATGTAAATCGCGCTATTCAACATGTCCATAGGAGTGGCTTGGTCCATAGAGGAATTCTTGCTGATCCTAACAGATATTTGCTTAAAAATGTAAGTTTTATGGAATAAAACTTGGTCTCTGATTAGGAATGCATTTACTTTGATTGGTAATAGCTAACAGCAAGTCCCGTTATTCTCAGGGTCAGCTACTACGTTTTCTGAGAATGCTAAAAGATAAAGGGAAGAAGCTCTTTTTGCTGACCAACTCTCCCTACCATTTTGTCGATGGCGGAATGCGTTATCTGATGGAGGTGATTCACATCATTTAATAGCCATAAAAAAAACATTTTGTGTCCTTTTTTGAAACTTACTACTCAACATTCTTTTATTTTAATTAGTTTGTCCAAAAACCTTCTTCGGTTCTAATTCCGGTTTTACTTCTTTCTTTTCCCTGAAGTTGATTGTAATCTCTATTCTCTATCTGTTTATGCTTGTTCTTCATTAGGACTCTTTTGGCCTCAGAGACTCATGGCGGGACCTATTCGATGTTGTCATTGCTAAAGCAAATAAACCAGAGTTTTACACATCTGAGCACCCTTTCCGGTTTGTGTTCTTAACTTACTGAATCCTCTTTCGCCTCACGGTAATTAAGAAATATTTTGGAACAATTCTTTATGATATGTAAAACCCTTATAGTTGCTATGATGAGGAGAGGGATACTTTGGCGTTTACAAAAGTGGATGCATTTCACCCAAATAAAGTATACTACCATGGCTGTCTTAAATCCTTCCTTCAGATCACAAAGTGGCATGGCCCTGAGGTACTCCTTACAAGCAGCTACTATATTTTATTCGTAACTTAACGCTTCTGAATGCATTTTATAGACATCACTACAATATGTTCTGTTCATAGGTGATTTATTTCGGAGATCACCTATTTAGTGACTTAAGAGGACCTTCAAAGGCTGGTTGGCGAACCGCTGCCATAATCCACGAGCTCGAGGTTGGTTTACCATACTTGATATATAGCCTTTTTAGCTGATTGTATTCTCAAAAGATTTTGTACATCACTCAAAGCCCAAAAGTATATTGAGTTCTCTTTGCGACGTTTCTTGGTCCAGCGAGAGATACAGATACAAAATGAAGATAGCTACCGGTTTGAGCAGGTATAGCCACAGCTTCCTCTTTTACTTTTCAAGTATGGCTTTCTGTTTAAAGGATTTATACAGTCGTGTACCGTGTGACTCCGTGGAATGTAAATACGCTACTCAAAGCAGAGACGTGTGTAGTAGTTAGTCTAATAAGATCATTTCTTGTCCTTAATATTCAGGCAAAGTTCCATATTATCCAAGAATTGCTCGGTAGATTTCACGCAACTGCATCGGACAATCAGAGAAGTGAAGCATGCCAGTCTCTATTGGATGAGCTAAACAAGGCGAGACAGAAAGCACGAGACACGATGAAACAAATGTTCAACAGATCGTTCGGAGCTACATTTGTCACGGACACTGGTCAAGAATCAGCATTCTCTTATCACATACACCAATACGCAGACGTTTACACCAGCAAGCCTGAGAACTTTCTGTTCTACCGACCTGAAGCGTGGCTTCACGTGCCTTACGATATCAAGATCATGCCTCATCATGTCAAGGTATGCAGATCCACCATGAACCACATTATGAGTGCTATTGATAGATTCGAGTTGCAAAATTTCGGATCCAAAGAGCTTAACCAAAACTTATACATTGAACCGATTCTTTCAGGTTGCTTCAAACCTTTTCAAAACCTGACAATAGAGTTTGGATAACTTTTGATCGAAAAAGACAGCGCAGCGTTTAGGTTTAAAATTGCCTGAGACAACGAGAAGGTTTGCAAGTCATTCTCAGATTCTTGCTGCTGCTTTTGCTAATCATTCTTTTGTGTCAAATGGATGTTAGATAATATTCGTTTGCATAACTTTAAAAAGTGGCTAACACTTGAAAATAAAGAAAGTTGTAATAATTATGGAATCTATCTTTGGTAATTTTGTTTATCATTAATATTTTTGAATAAGATTTATAAACATTTATTTTTAACCTTGTAGTTTGCAAAAGATTAATGTTTATGTTTAATTTCTATAATATGCAATTTTTTGTAGATACATAGTGGAAGTTTTTTTTGAAGGTATAAAATGTCCAAGTTGAGCCGTTTTATTGTTATTGTATATTTTGCGGATCAATTATTTTGTTATCCTTGATTAAATTGTCTTTGGTTAATTACTTCTCCTTTGTTGGTGAAATCTGAATTACCTAACTACTATAAACCGAAATATACAGTACAACCTCTATAAATTAATATTCGATAAATTAATAATTATTATAAAATTATAAATTTTTTTGTCTTAAGTTGGATTAATGTAAAAATTCATCAAATTCAATAAGATAATAAGATAATAATTTTTTTAAAAAAAATTTATATAAATATATGATCTCAACAAGAACATAATTAATAATTATATAAATTTATGTAAATATTTCTAAAGATAATATTCTAAAATATGACTAATACATTTATTTTTATTTAGAGTTGAAATCTAATCAGATTTGATCTCTCTAATTATTATATCAGTAGCTACTATTGTTTTACTATATGCATTCAAAGTTTATGATAAAATTTTTGATGTGATAATTAATTTTTCACCTGTAAATATTTTTAAATGTATTGTAATGTTATCTTCAATTTTATCATCAATAATAAATATAGTAACTATAGTTTTTTTTTATAAATTTTAAATTTATTAATATTTATATTTTTACATGGACAGTCTAATATGCAATTAAAAATTATTCTATTGTGATACCTATAATTGTTAATCATAATTTGTATTAAAAGATTTATTTAAATTTTTGAATATAACATCATTTAAAAAAAAGTCTTAGAAATTTTTATAGATAGAAAACAAATTTTCTCTAAAGGGGTGTTATTCAATCATGGTTTTTAATAGAGTCTAAATCCATTCACAATCCATTGTTATTTAATAATTGATTTTGATTTCTCTATAAAAATTCAATGTTATTGGTTCATGTATTTAGAATCTCTTCATTAATAGAGTTTGAAATCCATTGTTATTCAATTAAAGAGTTGAATCAGTCAATTAAAATCTTATGTTATTCATGTTTAACAGATTCTTACAACTGATTTTAGGTGAAAGATTTTAACTGAATTTGAAGATATTTTTATGTGTTAAATGTAGTAATCAAAATCCAACATTTTACCCTCAAATTTTGATAATTATAAAATTTAATACAAATAATTATTCACCTACGTTTTTTCTGTCTTCCTTCTATATATTAATCAATCAAATACAACACTCTTTCATCCCTCCATTTCTCTATTCCTCACACGTCTTATTTTTCCTCTATTTATTTATCTATTTTTCTCTTTTCCCTAGTACATATCTCTCTCCCTTCTCTTTCTCCATAAGTCATCAAAAAAAAGAAACACACTTTTAAGAGGTCAAAGTTCACAGCAAGTGAGATTTTTTTTTTACGTATACATATGTGGTTTTAGATTGTTTTTTTCTTTGAACTTTTTAATTTCAAAATTTATTGAGAATTCTATTCTATTAGATTTTAAATGATAGCATGTGATTTTCTAAATACACTGCTAAATAATTCAAAATTTTAAACAACTCATATACATTAGATTCTAAATGAATTAAAAAATTTTAAAATCTGATCTACTCTAATCTAGTAGAATTGATTTCAACATACAGATTGAATAACACCCCCTAAGACATTATTTATAGAGGTTTTACTGTTGTGGATCTAATTCAAGTTAAACGCCAAGGTCGCTTGACAATAACAACCGGTATATATATGTCGATGATGACCAAACTTGTTCTAATCATCTTTGAAAAAATCACGGAGATCATCTGAATGTTGGATCAATATTAAGAGTTAGCATTTGAACTGAACCAAAACAAAACAGGAAATGATCTGACCTACATCTAATATACATACTAATATATGTGCATATAGTTCAATAAAGCTGAATCTAACTAAAGGAAAAGATTTTAACAAAAAAAAGAACTAAATGAAATGACTTTTATTTTTAAAAAGTTTCTAAACAATACCAAAAACTGGCTACTTTGTTGGGAAAAACAATTTGACAGAAAAAAACTAAAATCAACATGTTTCTTCCCAAATCGACAAAGGAGATATTTTCCATGTCCTTTTTGTGGCATCTTAAAGCATTCTTATAACACTAATATGCTTGAAAGCTTTCTTTCGATTGACAAGTCCCAAACTTTTTTTCTTAATCGGGCTTTATGAAACCGATCAGATCATTGATAGATAATTCATTTTGATCATTTGGATGTTCTATGGTGTAAAAGGCGAGCACAAAAGTTGCACAAAGGAAGATATATATTTGTTTAGGGTCCAGTGATGTATATTAAGAACATGCTGTTAAACCTATTTTATAGATATAATCTAAACTACATAGAAGGAACATGATATTCATCTATTCTATTAAAACAGAAGCATTTTTAATGATTGCTTCCAAACACTCTTTAACTTTTTTAAAAATTTGTTTGAAAATAGTTTTAAAATTATCCTAATTAATTGCAATATTAATTAAAAAACATATTTTTATAACTGTGAGGAGCACATGATGGCAAGTACTTTGCCTTCACAAGGTCCACACCAACAGATTGTTGGTAATTCTCTGTTTAGAATATAACTCTTTTAATAGGTTCATGTTCGCTAAAAGTATACTTATGTATCGTACTACATACATTGTTCATGACCTCTAAAAGTATCTGATGTATCGTGCTATACTGTCAGGCTCAAAATTGAGGACGAACAAGTCGCAAGAGTCGATATCAAAAGGGCAATCAATGAGCAGTTTGGTGGCGATGAAGAGGTACATTCTGTTTTCGATTGCTAACTCTTAAACACATTAGCCTTAAGGTTCAGTTATCTGTCTTTGATCTGTTCATGCAGCATCCACCTTTCAAATTCACAAAAGGCATAAATCCAATTATCTGTCTTTGTTCTGTTAATGCAGCATCCACCTTTCAAATTCACAAAAGGCGGAAATGCAATCATGCTCTTATATGTCCGTGAAAGCGAGGAAGGCCGTCTATACAACATTGACAAAAAACAAGAAATCGAGGATAATCCCGCAACTGGTCTCACTATCATCAAGGTCGTCCCAAGAGACGAAGAAGAGCAGATTGGGAGAGACAGAGTCCTGAGTTTCAGAATCCCAAAAATGTTTCAGGTTTAGACAGTTTGAGGATGGAGTGGCCGAGTACTTTGGCGTTCCCACACATCGGCTACGGTTCTACAAATCAGAATCTGATGAATCAAGTCTCATTCTGCGAAGAAACAAACCTGATACGGTAGAGGAAATGGGCGACGAAGTCAGACTCTTTTTGGGTTTCGATTCTCTGCCAGGTTTTTCAGGTCTATGTGCCTTGTGCCCAAAAGGAGACGGCACCCTTACTGACATTGAGGATTTCGGCAGCAAACCGGCACCAAAGGCGGGACCAAAGGTGACGAGGAGGTCAAGGAGACAGTGAAGATTCATAAAATACATCTACTTTTTTTTTTTTTTGAGTATATAGACAGGTTTAGATATATTGTGAGTCAAAATTGAATTCATGTAATGTCATATCAAATCTTTTGGACCTTTTTTTGTTTGAGATACTAAAGTAACTAAACTCATCAAAGTTCTTCGGTGTGTTTTTAACTATCCATGCGGTATTTAAGACAATCGATATGGTGGTGTTTCTGTTTCAATCAAGAGAATTAATAATGTGAGGATTATACAATCCAGCTTTCTTGAATTTACACTGGATTTCAACCACGTGACATGATATATCTATCGAGTAAAACTGAGAAACCTAACCTCGGCTTTGCTTTTAATTATATAAAAAAAAAGTGGGTTAATGAACGTGTGGTATGTATAGGCCGTTCACTAAGCGCGGGTATTTACATATACGAAAAACAAAAATTTATGTGATATTTCATTAAAAAATATTTGTGATATAATTGCGAATATATAGCTACATGAATTATTAACATAAATTTCTCTCAAAGCAAAGCAAAACAACTAACTTGTGTACGCATTCCTTTCTGGTTATGAGCCATCTAAGCGATCAGACATTCTCCTATGAAGACAAAACCAGGTTGACTTGAAACCCGCAAGAGATTGAGTTTGCTGATGAATTTGATTAACCTTTCTCTGATTCGGGATATTGAGATATTCTAAGATTCACCATCACTCTCATCACCCTATAGTACCTACCATTCTTCCTTGCAGCCTCCTTTATATTATTCATCCTCTCGTTTTCTTTTTCTTTTTCTTCTTCTTCTTCTTCTTCCACTCTTTTCGTTCTCATCAGCCTCTCTCCAGCTTCATTACCCGCCACCTAAGCCAATTCTCCTCCTCGAATCCCTCCACCACAGACAGAAGAAAGTTGAAGCGTTGAATTTTATGCTTAAGAGGATGAATTGTGTATTAGTAATAAGTTTCTCAAAGCTAGGACAACTACTCAAACAAAAACGAAAAAGAATTGCTGAATGAATACATCATCAAATCGAGTTATCCTCATTTTGTCTTCACCAAACAAAGAATAAGATCTATACAATACCAGGGTCTGATCATTTGATTGTACAGCAGAAGTTATTCGTTTCCCAGAGAATCAATCCCACCATTTTGGCATTCATTCCTTACCATAAGCACCAACGAACCTTAAGGGATGAAAAGAACATGTGAATTGCAGAGCACACGCCAAAAATAACAATACAAGCAGTATAAAGATTTGATTGGGGAAAGTATATACCCATGTCTCCTTTGAACATTAGCTCCACCAATTCATCTTACCACGTCATTGCTGTTATCGGAATCTTGAAGCAGACAGTCATAAGGGAATTATAAAATCATACTGGATTCACAAAAGTTTGCAAGTTTAGTCAAATGTAGCTTACCCCTTCTTTTCCTTTTTCTTTTACAGATCTTTTTCAGTGCCACGATTTCACAGGTTTGATTTCTTTAGCCATGTAACTTGACTCCAAAATGAAAGCCAACCATATGAATATAAAAACCCCAGCTACTATGTTCTAGAATAAGATTCACAATTATTTGTAATCTGAAGCAAAAAGAAAAAATATATCCCAATTCACTCAATCAACAAAATACAAAATAGTATTTTAACGGAACTTGGCAATGAAAAATCGCTTCAAAGAACAATAAAATTCATGAGAAGTCACAAACCAAATTGAAGAACAAAACCCAGAGAAAATGACAGCAATTGAGAAGAAGAAGAAGGAGGGGGAGGAAACCTGTAAGTTCCTTCGCCAATCTGTTCTAGCTTCTCCAAGCAACTGACACTACAGATCTGATTTCAGGATCGAATTTCATATGATCTGTTAAGTAGGAACGGTATAAATGGAACTGGCATAAACTACAAATGTGGGAGTCGAATAAATTGGAACTTGGAAGGATTGAACGCTTCAGAAAGCGAGATCAGGAGGAACGGCTCGCTTGGGAAGATGAAGAGATGAGATTTTTTTAAGGTGCCACATGGCACTCTCTCCAGCGACGTGGCAGAAGGCTGGAGAAAGTTAAGTAACTTTTATATATAAAATGTTATTGTATTTTTTAATTATATTCAATTAGACTAAAATTTCACATATTAAAACTGATAAATATTAATGTTATATAATAATTTGATGGGATAGATTAGGGTTTTTTTTATAATTGTAGTTTTATGCGGGTTAGGTTATCAAAACATGCAAGATATTGAGATAAAAATTATTTCAAAATTAGTTAATATTAAATATAAATAGACGGGTTTAAATTATGGTTTAAATTATGGTTTTATAACCACGGTCTTTTTTGGATTAATAGAATAAATGATTTAGAAATATGTTTTTATAATAACAGTCATTTTGATTAATAGAATGACCGGAATCAAATTATGGTTTTATGATCGTGGTCATAATAATATTTGAAAAAACAACAAATCATATCTAAACACAAAAATAAATCTTTGTCACTTATTAGAAAAATTATATCTATAAAAAAATTAATTACATTACAATTTTTGATTAAAAAAAATTATCGTGTGGATGTACAGGGTAAAATCTAGTAATATGTTTTAAAACTAACAATCCAGTCAACAATTTGATTTCTGATGGTTTCAACTATGTAAAAACTAAACAAAAACCATTTTTTTATTTATTTGATACACGTTAGGCTTGGTGAATTGGTGTGGTTTTTATCAATTTGATTTGGGTTTTCAAATAAGGAAATCAATCATATATCATATATATTATAAGCAAAGTAAAATTTTTATGATGGCTAATTACCCTTTACCCCTTCTTATATTTTTTAAATTAATTTTAATAACAAAATTATCAAAAATTATAAATTAATTAAAAAAATATTAAAAATCGTAATTAAATAAAAATATTAAAAATCATAATTAAATAAAATATTAAAAATCATAAATTAATAAAAAAAACTGTTATCATATCATATATATTATAAGCAAAGTAAAATTTTGAGTTAAAACTCTCTTATTCAATTTTAGGGTGACTAATTACTCTTTACCACTTCTTATATTTTTTAAATTAATTTTAATAACAAAATTATTAAAAAATTTAAATTAATTAAAAAAATATTAAAAAACGTAATTAAATAAAAATCGTAAGTAAATAAAATATAAAAATCGTAAATTAATATAAAAACTGTTAAAATCGAAATTAATCAAAAAACATTTAAATTTAATAAAAATTATTAAAAATCAAAATTTAATCAAAAATATTTAAAATAGAAAATAACGAAAATTTAAAAATTGGAATTTAATTAAAAAACATTTAGAATCATATCATATTTAATATATGCAAAGTAAATTTTTTGCTATAAGGTCTCTCATTCTATCTAGGTAACTAATTCCCCTTTATTTATTAATAAAATCTTTTTAATTCCCTTTTATTCGTTAATCGGATTATCTGTTGAGCGATATTATTTGGAAAAAAAATGTACATGTGATGTGGGAAATCCTAGCTTAAGTTGAGAGCTATATATAAATATATTACTTTTTTAAATGTATCTTATGCTCAATTGTGGTTTGTTTCTATATTGGTCGGCTTTTTGTTGTATTGTTTACCGTCTTTATTTTTTATAAATCAATTTTTCGTTTTTTTCTATTGTTTTTTCCGTTTTTTTTCAGTACCAGTAGTAGTGTTCCTCGATTATATGTTGTTTTTTGTTGTCAGTTATTCTTCCTTACTTAACGTGATTAAAACCATGTCAACATATCATAAATCATCTTCATTGTCTAATGAACAGGTTTTAAGTCTTTTATTTTTTTTGCTTGTTTTAAAGATGGCTTTCTGAATTCTGTTTATTTTTGAAATAATGTAAGAGATGCCAAATACTCTAGCAGGACGCAGAGGAAAAAACCAAAAAAGAAAACAGAAAAAGGGAAAAAGGGAAAAACGAAGTAGAAAAAGAAGAGAAAAAGATAAACTGAAACATATAGAAGAACATAGAGTTGACGAAAACGTAAAAAAATGAGGAAAAAATGAACAAAAAGTTCTAGAGCATGAACGATAAGATCAAGATGGGTAACACAAAATAGTGAAAAAGAAAAATGATAAGGAGATGAAGAACTCAAAGTTGTAGAAGAAAACTGAAAGAAAAAGAAGAACAAAAATGGTAGATGACGAAAATAAAGTATAAGAAGATGAAAACCCGACGATGAAAAAGAAAAAAAAAGTAAAGATGCAAAAAAAGACAAACAAAAATTAGAAAGAAAAAAAGTTGGATAGGACAAAAATGACCAAGAAGAAGTAAAAAGCGGAAGATAAAAACGGATAATAAAACCAAAAGAAGAATAGTAGAAGATGTTGAAGAATAAGAATTTAGAGAATACAAAGACAATAAAATAAAACAAAGAAGAAGGGGCAAACAAATAAAACAAAAAAATCAACAGAAAAAAACGAAGAAAAAACCGAATGAAAAAAAATCAAGAAGTCAAAGAAGATTAATACAATACATAAGAAGAAATAGTTAAAAACAATGAAAGATAAGAAGGAAAAAACAAAGAATAGAAAAGCTAAAAAGAAAAAGGAGAAGAATAAGAAAACAACGATAATGTGAACACCTCATAATACGGTGAACAAGTAAGCTCCCCACAAAAAATACTTGGATAGGTCGAAGACGATGAACAAAAAAAAACTAAATGACCAATTGGAGAAGAAAAAATATAATCAGAAGAAAAAGTAATAAAGAAAATCAGTAGATAATAGAAGAAGTGAAAGAAAAAAATAATAAAATGGAAGAAAACTAGAAGATGAAGAAGAGAAAGTAGAAAAAGGTAAATATGATGAAAAAACGAAGACAAATCAGATGAATAAGAAGTAAAAAAAAAAAGATGAAGAAAATATAGAAGAACAATTTGAAAACAAATAACGATAAAAAAGACCTAAAAATATAA